ACCTTGGGGGGGGGGGGCGTGGGGTGTGAAGTATTGGGGTAATGTTGATTGGATCTCAGGGCCCAGGGGCCTGCGACGAGGAGCGGCCGCGAGGCAGGGGGCGCGCCGCAAGACCGGCGTGAGGTTTGAGGGTTGGGCGCTGTGCCGGTGTGGGTGCAGGCGGCGACGTCGCGGGCCGTTGGGCGCGGCGGGTCGAGGGGCGCACGTGCGGTTGCAGGGTGCGGGGCGGAGGGCCTGAAAGGATGCCGTGCAACCGGGTCGACTTGGCACCCAACAGACGGCAAAGTAAAGCCCATCGAGCGGCCGTCCCTCGCGAGCGGCGCCAGCTCGGCGCCACGGACAGGGCGCCGAGTGGCGGCAAGGCGGACGGCCGCGGCCGCGCCCGCGCTCTTCACCTGCGTGACCATCCCGAGCGCGTGGCCGCGCGGCACGATGGTGGCCTTGTGTATGGGGCTGGCCCCGGGCGTGAGCAGCGCCACCAGGGCGTGGCCGCTCTCGTGGTAGGCGGTGCGGCGCAGCGCCTCCTGGGAGCGCACCGCGGTCTTGCGCTCCACACCCATTAGGATCTGGCCGGTTTTTTGGGGTTGTTTTGGAGAAAAAAGGGGGCCAAGGGGGGGGGGTTGTGGGGGTGCGGCGAGGCATGCGGTCGATTAGCGTGCGTGGCAGTCTACACCCAGGAAGACCGTTAGGTTGAGGAGGGAGGCGGGGTTTTCGAGGGCAGCGGGGATGGCGAGGTTTGCAGCCGTGCGAAGCCGCGGCGTGAGGAGGGTCTCACAGGCTTCATGATTATTATATGATATTATATATTCGAAGCACTTATGGCAGAGCGCGGCGGTCGGTTTGAAGGGCAGGGCAGGCGCCAGGCACACGCCAGAGTACCACAGGGCGGCTCGCCAGCGGTTCCGACAGGACAACGCGGAGGGGGGACCGCCGTGCTGCTCTACCCTGCTTCGGCCGGCAGGTTTTTTTTTCATGACTTCGCTTCACAGCACAGATCAAACAGCAACAACAGGCCCTCATTCGACTGCAAGGCAGCCTGCAGAGGCCGCCCCCACCGTGATGCGCCCCCCGAAATGAAACCACCCACCTTGTCGTACGCGTAGTCGATCATGGGGGCAGAGATCGCGGTCGCATCGCGCTGCGCAGCCAGGAGGGCCGCCTCGTTGACCAGGTTCGACAAGTCTGGGGGGGTTTCAGAGGTTAGTTTTTGGGGTGGGAGGAGAGGGTGGGACAGCCGAAGTATTTCAGGGGGTGCTGTGGGGTTGACTTTGTACAGCAGTGTAGCCCGCAGAGGCAGGGTCGATCCTTTGGCAGGGGGCTTCTGGGGGGAGAAAGGCGAAAACCCCGCGCCCAAAAACG